AATGAATTTCTTTATTATTCCTATCTTTCCAAAGATAAATTCTGATGTTGTAGAAGAGAAACTTAGAAATCAAAGAAAAAGTGTGCAACCCTATGAAAAGTAATATATTCAAATTTTATAAATAAACCAGTATAAAATAAAATTTAAAACAGAACCAGCAGAAAAAAAGAAGGAAGAGTATAAAAAAATAATCCATAGCATATGCTTATTTTATACTGATATTTTTAAATGTTGACAACATATGTCATTGGGAGTAGCTTTGGGGTCATAAGTTATATTGTTCAAAATGGCTTTTCTAGCCATCAGCTTTGACTTTCACTACATGACTAATTGAGAGGGAGCCTTAAAATAGGGTATGTAAACTAACCATTATGGGATTGATCAGTTTTTACCATTCCACGAAGTTGGAATTGAACATTATTAGCAGCAGAAAATAGATATTCTCATTATCAGCAAGGAGAAACTAGAGAAAGCAGTGCACATCCTTTGAGGTCAGAGCTTCCTGTGACAGTCAGACCTACATGGCAGCAGCAATAGCCTCAGCAGAGAACCAGAGACCAATGTGAAATAGAGCTAACTTTGGACTGTTTCTCCTTGGGGCCATAGTCATAGGCCTTCACTAGAGTTTGTTAGAGGACTAAGGGAAGACAACATAAGGGATTTAATGGAATTTTGTAACACTAGCAAGGATAAGGGAATTTGTAAAACTGGCCAAAGACATATTTCATCAAGTAGATGAAGCCTTGGATATACTCACCAGGTTGTGCCAAGAAATCTGGAGGACAGTTACCTGGCCAACTGACTGGAAGAGATACATATTTATTGCCATTCTCAAAAAACATAATCTAATAGAATATGGAAATTAGTGAATATTATCACTAAGATCCTATGCAAGCAAAATCTTGCTGAAGATTCTCCCAAAACGGACAAGAACCGTACATCAAAAGAGGACTGCCAGAAATACAGCTTAGAAGAGGCCATGGCAATAGAGATAGCATTACTGATGTCAAAAGGATGTTGGCTGGAAAGCAGAGAGTACCAGAAGTATGTCAATCTGTGTTTTATCTACTGTGCAAAGGCATTTGATGGTACAGATTACAGCAAATTGTATCTAATATTGAGAAAAATGGGAATCCCAGAACACTTGATTGTATTCATCTATAATCTATACCTATACCTGGAAGCTGTTTTCAGAACAGAGAAAGGAAACATTGCATGTTTCAAAACCAAACAGAAGTACATCAGGGATGTTTCTCTTCTCAATATCTTTTCAATATGCAGAATAGATCATTAAGGAGGCTAGACTTTATGAAGAAGAATGTGGCATCAATATTGGAGGAAGACTTATCAATATCCTGCATTATGCAGATGACACAATCTCTTGCCTGTACAAACTGAGGAGGACTTGAAGCATTTGCTGCAGAAGTTCAAGGATCGCAGCCTTCAATTTGGATCAAGAAAACAAAGATCCTCATCATTGAGCCAATAAACTTCATCATGATAGATGGAGAGAAAAAAAATCAAGATTGTTCATCACTTCATCTTTCTCAGATCCACAATTAACAACATTGACACCAACCGTCAGGAAATCAAAAGATGAGTTGCATTAGGGAAATGCGCTGTCAAGGACCCCTCCAGAGTAAAGATGTTTGAGAAGCCGTCCTGTCTGAAGAATGGTTTTATGAGGTCGGTGGGACCATTGCAAAGGATTTTAAACACAGTAGTAAAGCAGTACAGTTGGTTCTGGAATTAGTAGATGTTGGTCCCATGTCTGACATAATGGAAATTATTTTGGTATTGTGGATGCTGCAGTTGGAGACTGTTCCTCTTTGTGAATTTAATAGAGGTCAGATTTCCCTATCTTCACATAACACTCACTTTTTTTAATAGCCTAATTGTACTTTTCCCAAAAATCCTATATTCAAGACTAAAGTTATATCAGTTACATAATCAGCCCCTTAATTGAAGGTATTATTTTTAAGGTATTCACTTACATGTGTTGAGGTTAAACATAAAATAAAAAAATTAAAATTGATTTGATTTGAAAAGAAATCATTGCCTATTACATCATGTAGAAATAGACTAAGATATGTTTCTCCTTTACAATCAAATTTAATCTCAATAGATTAAATTTGGTATAGGCCATGGTCTTTTCAATTACTTCCTATATATATGAAAAAAAAGTTCAAGGATGACAGAAGAAGAATCTATGCTTTTGAGTTGTGGTGTTGAAGAGGAATACCGAATATTAAATGGACTGACAAAACAACAACAACAACAAAAGCCAAAATTTGGTGGCTAGGATGGTGAAACTTCATCTCACATACTTTAGGCATGTTGTTGGGAAAGGTCAGCCCTTGGAAAAAAGACATCATTCTTGGAAAGATGAAGGTCAGTGAAGGAGAGAAGACCCTCAATGAGATGGATTGACATAGGTTCAAATATATTGAAGATGATGAAGATGGCATATGACAGAAAATTTTAGATCTGTTGTTCAAAGGGTCTCTTTGAGTTGTAGATGATTCACTTGCACCTAACAATAACCACGCAACAAGATTAGACCATCTAGCAATTGCCTGTTTTGAGTTTAAGATGTTAGTGTTCTGTTACTTCAAAGGCACACATTATATGACCAGGCTACTGTTTGTGGAAATTAGTTCAACTTCATTAAACACAAACTAACCAGGCTTATCGGGACTTTGATTAAGTAAAAATCTGCAAAGCATTTGTTTGTAGTAGGTTAAATTCTCTAGTTTGATATTGCTCTGCCCACATGGAACAACCATATAAAAATTGAGGATAGATGTTATTGGTCCTGCCTCATGCTATTTTAGGGAGTTTGGGTGATCTAATTGTAAGAACCTGCAGTACAATCCCAGAGGCACCTGGTTCAAATCCACTGGTTGTTTCATAGGAGAAAGACTGACAATTTCTTCCCATTTGATTTACTGCCCCTGAAAACCTGCTGGAGAGTCAGGTATGAGTTGGTTCCAACTCAATGGCAAACAGCAACCACAACAATAACAACATATATACAAGTGTCTCTAAGTATTTTAGTTTCAAAATTCCTATCAATTCTCTACCCTAAAGTAATTGGTCATATTTCCACTTTTATTCGCTTTATTAATTCTTTGTTGCCACCATATAGTTTTCTTTCTGGAGGATGTACCCCTTGGTTTATATTTATTCATACTTTGATTTCATCAACATATACTTCCTCTTAATTGACCTTAAGATGCAAAGGAAACATCACAATGTGCTGTAGGGAGACTAAGCTTTGAAGTTAAAGACCTACTGTGTAAGATACCAGCTGTCTGTTTTACTAACGAACACAGGTAAAGTGCTTCTTGACTTACTCTTTATTAGCTGTGCTTGGTTTATTACTCTTCAGAGTTGCACTTACTCATCTACCTCTTAAGCGAGGAAAATACGATCTCTATTGTTACTTTTATGATTAAGTTAACTAATACATGGGAAAATGCTAACATATGACTTGGCATAATATATTTGTTGCTAAAAAGAATGGATAGGAGTGTGGAGTACAATAGTGTATGGATAAGGAACAGGGATTGAGGCTTATCCAGAATTGACATTTAAGAACATAAGAAATTAAATATAAAACATCTGATTAATTTAAAAATCATTAGCGAAGCCATTCCAGGTCATCAGTAAACAGATCTGACAAAAATAATAATTATCTGATTCCAGAGCTAAAGGAAATAAGGTTGGTAAAATATGTCCTTTGTTTCTTCAATGAAGATCAGCAAGCCATGTGTTATCCTAAAATGAATCTCTGTTTCTAAGCAGCCTCCCCGTCTTTCACCTCTATTGCTTAGATGACTATCCATCTCTAGCCTCATTACTAGTCCATACTGGTACCTGCTATTAGTAATGTTGTTCCAGCTACAAAGCAGATGCGGACTTTGATGTCAGGCTCATCAGGGAGGAATTTCACACAGTCAAGACCAAGGAGCAGAGTGATGAATCCAAATCCGGCTAGAATGTCTGCAGTAATCATTAATGCCCGCGTTAACACCAGCTTCACTGCAAGATCAGGGCAGGTGGTCATGGAAAAAGGAAGGAAGCAGGTTAATTCACTCACGGCTTCATGATCAAATAGACAAGCACATAAACCAGACCATTCCTGCAAATAAGACTTTAAATTTGAAGGATCATGGAAATGAGTTTTTCATACAACTTCAAAATGAGACAGATTATTACAGATCTTGTTTTCAACCTAGGAGAGGGAATGGTACACAGTGGGAAAGGACAGAGCCTCCCACTCTCAGATGAATCTTGCTCACAGGTATTACAGCTGAATACTGATGTGAAACTAGAGTGATTTCTGCAGAAGTTACTCAATGAATAAAGGACAAATAAATAAATTATCTCTAAGTTTATTTCAAGGCACACAGTTTAAATCCACCAATTGTTTCACAGAAGAAAGATATACAATCTCCTCCCACATGATTTTCAGCCTCTGAAGACCTGCTTTGAGGTTCAACTACAATTCAGTACTGACTCATTGGCATAATAAAAGCACAAATGTTGATTTGAACTTTTCTTGAAGAATTGTTTTTTTAAAAAGAAAATCACATCTAAATTTGGTAAAGGAGCATGGGGAGGGGGAAGAAAATATTTTAGGCACACTTGACAATTCAGTCTGGTGAGAACTACCTAGTTAGGGGGCTTTGGTGTTTTAGCCTGTAGGGAGTTGCAATGTTAACCCAAAAGCTGCACACTTCTGAGGTTCAAATTAATCACCAACTCTGAGGAAAAAAGATGGTCAATCTCCTCCCTTTGTAATTCACAACCTTGGAAGCTCAATGGAGAGTTACTGTAAGTTGGAAGTGGCCCAAAAGCTATGAGATGAGTTGAGCCATCAAGTTCATGGACAGAGTAGAACTTCTTTACAGTAGGGTTACCAAAGCTGCAGATCTTTATGGAAGATTTCTCCCATAGAACAGTGACTAGATTAGAACACCTACCTCCCTTTAAGCAAACAGTCCAAATCTATCTTTAAAGGGGAGGATGTGTTTTCTAATCTTGAGGTGGAATCAATTTCTGTAAGTCATATTATGCAGTTTTTCAGTCTTTTAGGTCAGAACTTTCCTTGGCCAAAATTTTAAACTTTCAGCCTTGCTTTGGCCACTGAATGGCCTATTTGGCAAGGAGTTGTGCTGCAATCCTGAAGGCACGCTGTTCAAGGCCACCAGCTGCTCCACAGGCAGTCTCCTCCTGTGCAATTAACTGCCTCTAAGAACCTACTGGAGGGTCAGCTGTGGGTTGGTTCTGACTCTATAGTACACAACAACAACAACAGACAAAAAGAATATATGATAAATATCATCAGTTGTCTTCTACAATAGAAGTTGTATCACTGATGGTAAACATCTTCTGACGGTATGTCACACTGAGGCAAAATTACAAATTGGAGAAATAATTTCTATAACAGAGAGTTAATTAACTCAAGTCAAAATTGCTGGTACTTTAACTGAAGCTTAGAGAAGTAATAAAATCCATGCTCTGATGGTGTGGTATTTAATCATGTTTTATTTTCTTGGTGATAAAGGGCTTCCTCAAACTTTAAAATAACTTTTTCCTCAATGGGTGACCTCAGACCTATTAGTAATAGGTTACTTGCAAAAATGTGGCCAATTATCCCTATTCAAATTAAAAAAAAATAAATTCTAAGCTTCATTGAAGAGAGAGGAAATTAATGTTTGAAATCCATTTTAACCTTACTGATGGAAAAATATAATACAAATTTATTAGTGTACTTAAATGTGACTATATAATTATTTCCAGTATAGAATTTGGCATTCTTTTTTTAAAATAAAAGTACAAAATAAGAGATATTTTCCACAAAATTGAGAGACTATATATTAGTGTACTTAATATATTCTTTTTCTAGAATAAAATTGGCATTATTTTAAAAAATTCAAATAAAGGCAAATAAGACCCATTTTTTTAAAAATAGAGAGGAGGAAAAATAGATGACTCGTACATCCTATTATTTTATATATTTCAGTAGACCCTCTTCAACTTTCAAATGATAGTGATCTGGTTTGTTGGTCCTCTACCCAGGACCCCAGTCTCATGGTTTCCATACTTGGGAATGTTGCCTTTGAAGTTAAATCCTTTTTCCGATACCTGAGAGAAGCCCAGGCTCAGCAATACTATCAGAACTCTCCACTTTCCATCCCATAGCAAGGTCACCAGATGCTCTATAGAGCCCCAGGCTACATCCAGTTCTCCAGAGCCCATGGCCAGTCCAGTTCCAGGGAGGTAACTTGAAAGCAGATTGCTCCCACATAGTAAGTGAGGAATTCACCTGACATAACGGTGTTAACATGTTGGTCAGGGAGTCTCAGAGAGTCTCTATTACCAGAGTCCCTGCCAAGATAATTATGTGGCTGGGACTTCACAGCCTAGTCATGCATGACAATAGAAAGAAAAAGTCATCTATGAGTGATAGTAAAGACTAGAAATAAAATCCAATCATTTTGTGGGTAGCAGTCTAACATAGTCTAGAAATACTAGTTTTCAAGAAACCATTTTTATATCTCTTGCTCTTAGCAAATAATGCTATATATAAAAGAAAAATAAAATCATAGATCAAAGATTAGTATATTATTTGAAATTGATAGGAATCTACCAAATAAAGTTTTAATAAATTAAGAGTAAGCTGTAGCTGAATATCTGTAGATGATTAACCTGCATTCAGTGATTTGTCTCTGTGATTGTAGTTCCTTACATAAATGTACATAGTATTTAGTGCTTGAAATGTTTAATCTTTCTTTTTTTCTTTCAAGTCTAAATATGTCGCTGCATTTGACCCAATCATACTACTTAGCAGTTAGATGGAGGTTAGTGCAGTGAAGTAAAAAGGAAAGATTTAGGAGGTCTTTGAAAGAAAAACAAAAACAAACCAAAAAACCCCAACCCTGAAATAGAGACCTTCGAAATTAGTATTACAGACACCCAAATCCTAAATGGCAGATGAAGTTCTTTTAAAGGACTACTTTTAAAAGACTTTACCCTGCAATTGAATAGACTGATTGAAATAAGGGGAAAGTCACATTCCAAAGGTTTACTTTTCATGTTTCTTAAGAAAAGGAGTTGCCATGTGGTGTCACTACCCATCATGTTCTTTGAAAGAAACTAAAACCCCTTTGCTTCAAGTGCCATTTCTTGGCACAGTGTTTCTTTTACTATAGAGATGGGTTGAGAGACTCAATTAAGATGGTTTTTAGTTTAAGAGATCTCTTTATTCATAACACCGTGCATGAACCATGGTAATGTGGCTTATTTTAATTTAAAATTAAATATGATAAGGACAGGCATGGCTTTAATATTCTTGTTAGTAATGTGGCACAAGTTCTGATTTAAACTTTTTTCATTTATCATTGAAAAAGGGAGGTTTTTTTTTTTTCATTTATTAGTCTTTTTTTGGTCATCATGACCTCAGTGTCTTTGTCTGCCTGCCTGCTTCTTCTATACCTGTATCTTTACCTCTCTTGCTTAGCAAACTCCAGATGAAATAACAATAAACCTTCTGTTTGAACTGAAGCTAGAAAGGTGTCTCTGCAGTGCCTTTCATCTCAGCTGTCAGTTCTAATCACACAATCAGAGCCCTAAAGAATTCCTTTCAATTCGGAAAGTGTTTACGATGAGTCTACTGTGTGTTAACACTGTGTCAAGAGCTTTGGGGATAGTAGGGATGAGGATGATAGTGTCTCTATCCTTGAAGAATTTCTAAATATGTGGGAAGAGATAAAATATGCTTTTAAAAGAGCACTGCAATTCACATTTCAGAAAAGAATTCTACTTGCAATTGAAACATTTAAAAGTGGTCAGAGGTGGTTGGTTGGTTTTTTGTTTGTTTTGTTGTTATTATTTTGGTTTTTTTAAGGTTCTGTGAAAAACAAACACATGTAATGGATATTGAGCTGGATATTTTTTTGTGGTTGCTCCCACCCCACCTCTGACCCCAGTTTCACCACACCCGTGCCCCTGGTAACAAAAGGCTGAGGCATACATACAGGGGTGTTCAGCAAGAATAGAGTCGTACTCATCGCAGGTGCGAATCCCATCAAAAGCATTGGTGACGCACTCCCACCAGAGGCCGCGGCACTTTGTGCTCACCTGGACATGGAGAAGACAAGAGTGCGAAACAATTCATTCAGACATACTTTGGCTCCCCCTGATCAAAGGGAGAGCTTGGCAGCTCTGAGTTTGATAGCAAAAGTACAGTGGTTACAAGCGTGATCAGAATTTCATTTACAACAAACAACGCCTTTGGACTATTTCCCCTTAAGCACTGACAATTAAAAGCTTTCCCCGCCAGGAAATGAATCTACTTCCTGATCTGAGGAACAGAAATTGGTCATGACTAAGATGGATAAGATCAACACTTAAATATATTCAAATGCCAAGGACTGATTCTATCACTGAACTCAGCATGGAAGCAATTCATGTCACTCTTCCATGCTGACATTTACTCATTAAAAAAAAAATCAATATAGCAATGCTTGACAACTGCTAATATCTTGAGCCTATTAGGAATTTATAATTTTTCTTCTTCACCATGAAACACTGAGTTCCATAAAGACAGATGTTATATCATTTATAAATTTAAAATAAATGCCTGGAAAAGTTACACATAAAGTTACTCATAAGTTAAATATTGTCGGTGCCGTTATGCACCATCAAGTCAGAACTGACTCATAGTTGATCGTCCAGCAGGTTTTTAGAGGCAGTAAACGTCCTGGAGGAGAGTACTCATTTTTCTCCTGTGGAACAGCTGGTGGAGTAGAACTCTGTGCTTTTTTTGTTGGCAGTGCAATACCGTACCACTAAATTTTAATGAAATATTAAGCCACAAAGCCTTAATGCAATATTGTACTTGTTAAGTATCACAGAGTCAAGTACAACTCACAGCTACTCTATGAGCAACCCACCTGAACCTTATTTTCTCTTGTGCCACCCTTATCATCTCTAACACAGTTGACCCTATTGATGAATATGTCAGTTCTTTTGGGGAGTTGTTCTTTCTTTTGCTGACTTTCCACCACTCCAAGCATGATGTCCCTTTCCAAAGGATAACGTTTTTAAGCAATATGCCCCAAATATGAGATGAAGCTTTGTCTTGTTTCTAAGGATCACTCTGACTGCACTTTCTCCAAGATATATCTGCTTTTTTTTTTTGGCAGGGATGTGTCCTATTTCCATACCTTTTCAATCTATATGCAGAACAGATCATCCAGGAGGCTGGGCTTTATGAGGAGGAATGTGGCGTCAGGATTGGAGGGGGACTCATCAAAAAATCTGTGTTAAGCAGATGATACAACCCTGATTGCTGAAACAGAGGAGGATCTGAAGTGCTTGCTGCAGAAGGGCAAGGACTGCAGGTTTCAATATGGATTGAAGCTCAACATCAAGAAAACACAGATTCTCACCACTGGGCTGGTTGGCAGCATCATGATAGATGGTGAAGAGATTGAGATTGTTAACAGCTTTAGTTTACTTGGTTCCACAATCAACACTGTTGGTAACAACAGCCAGGAAATCAAAAGACAAATTACACTGGGGAAGTCTGAAGTTAGAGACCTCTCTAGAGTACTGAAGTACAAAAATATCACTCTGGAGACTAGGGTGCACCTGATCCAGTCCAGAATCTTACAATCACTTGCTATGCATCAGAAACCTGGACAATGACTAGGAATGATAGGAAGAGAATTGATGCCTTTGAGTTGTGGTGCTGGAGAAGAATATTGAATATATTCCTAGAGCGGATAAAACCAAGATGTTCCTTGAAGGTAATGATTATAAGGCTTCATCTGGCATATTTTGGGTATGTTGCAAGGAGGAACTAGTCCTTGGGGAAGGACATCAAGCTTGGAAGGATGGAGAAACAAACACGAGAGAAAGACCCTCAATGAGATGGATTGATTCTATAATGGGGGTAATGAGGGTAGGTGTGTCAGAGACAATGAGGTTGACACAGGTTAGAGCAGGTTTCAGGGCTATTGTACTAAGGTACACTATGAGTCTCAAGTGATTTGATGGTACATAAAAACAACATGGGATATTCAACAAATACTCTTTTCCAGTACCACAAGTCAAAGGCATCAGTCTATTTATTCTTTTTTTTT